TTCATTGAACATATCTAGGAGCGTAGTTCCAGACTTTATCTCACTCGCAGCCTCAGACCAGCATTTAGTTTTTATTTGGCATTTCCATTTCCTTGTTGCACCGAGCCGGCACCCATACCGGCTCTTTCTCCCAGCCTCCGTCAGTGTCAGTGCCCGGGCTGTGGCTCTCACACGTTACTGAACGTAGCATGAACTTTCTCTGCTAGTATTATCATTATTTCCTTCTTCATCGGTTCTCTGAAATTGAGCAGCCTTCCATTTTTTAAATTCATGGCCTTCCTTCTGCACATGTTTACAAAAAATTGAACCAAATAAAAATGTTTTGAAAGGTTCTAACTTTCTAAACTTCAATGCAGCACAGAGCTCTGAGCATCTTCAACATAGTTGGCCCAGATTAGACCAGTTAAATTCCTTCCCCAGATTTATTCTAAATGGAATGAACCTAGAAGGACCCTTGACACCAGGGTCATGGATCTAGAAGGCTGTGGGCCCAAGACTGTCAAAGCTGCTCCCCGCCCACACACACAGCAGGTGGAGAAAACTTGTCTGCAGTGGGAGAGAATGGACACAGAGTGATGGATGGAGTGATCCTGGAGGGACGTCTTGACTCTCAATTCCAAACCCTTAAGTCCTCAGAGCTTCTCTGCTTCCTGCAAATTCTGTTTTATTCCAAGAGCCCCTATAGTATCCTTCCAATAAATCTCCTTTTTTACTTGCACTATTTTTAGTTGGATTTATGTCACTGGCAATTAAAAGGGTTTGAAAATACACCAGCTTATATTCTATGGGAAAAGTAATCGATTTCCCAAAAGATTACTACTTCTCTGCTCAAACCCTTCCTGCTCTAACTTACTTTTCCAATCTTATGTCTCTTACACATTCAGTGGAGTGTCTATTCACTGACACCCCTCCTCCAACCGCCGAACATAGCTGGGCTTTCCTTCTGCCTTGTTATCATCCACTCCCCTCCTTTCCTGGTAGTTGAATCTAGATCTATCTGTTGCTCAAAATTTATCACAAACAGCACTACTCAAGCTCTGTGGTCTTTCCCTCCCTTGGGCCATGCCCATTGTAATCTTCTTCATGCCTAACAGGTGTTTCCCATTCATTTCTCTCTCTGGGGCCACTCCGTCCCCCACCCCAGTGCAGGCCTTGAAGACAAGTGCTTAATACATGTTGGCTCCTTGGTGTCAATGAAGGATGTCTGATCATCAGTTTTTGTATAAAACTCATTTCTTTTATTCTGATATGCACATTTTTCACAATTTAATATTGTTGAAATCAGAATTAAGCTTATAATCATTGGCATGCCAGAATTTAATGAGCAGCACTTTTTCTTTCTTAGGGGTACATAAAATATTGGCGCATCTTACATTTGATGATATTGTAGATTCAGTGAAAGAAAGTATCATTCGAGCATCCCGATAACAACGGTTTGCTCCCTTGTCTTCCTGCCTCTAGAGTGAATCATCCCCTGTTCTCAACATGTCTTTAGTTCCTGCTTTCTACTCCTACTGTTGTTGTCTCCACTTTGCCTCCTTTAATTTCCCACTTTATTCAAGTACAGACTATTACACTGCAATAAGGCAGTGCTAAATACAGTGGTGTCATTGTATCATGATCCCACACCATAAAACACTGTATGATGCTAAATATGTTTGCTATAAAATTCATTCCAGTTGAATATAGAAGCTAGCAAAAATACATCTTTATTTCAGTTGTAAACAGGCAACCATGTTGTATGAGACATAATTTGTGAAGACAATGAAGTCAGAAGCAGAGTAGTGATAGAATTAAATAAGACTTACAACCAAAGCAATGCAATATATTTAATGACAATGTAATCATCATTCTTTGAGCAGATTGTGGCCTAGGAGAGTCTCTAGAGATAAAAGGTTTCTAAACAACTCCAGATGCCCTGTACCATCCAATTACTCTTGTTTATTAACTTTCGTGCTTCATTGTTCTATGAGGCTGGGAAATCCAGTGGTCTTGGGCCAGGAAATTCCTTGGATGAGAAGCTGTCCTCATTAGCACTGGCATGGTGCAGACCTGCCATGACCCCTAGTTTTGTGGAAAGAGCTGGCCTCTCACCTCCTCTTCCTACAGCCTGGGATCCAGCCAAAACAAATGGCTAGTCCCACAAACTCTATACTCTGCAATCCAAAACCTTCCTGCTCTCTTCATGCCTTCACTAGGGCTGGTCCCTTGTCTGATAGAGCTTTCTGCTGGGCAGACATGTTCTGCAGATCTGCACTGCCAGGCACAGTAGCTCCTAGCACCTGTGGCTGTTGAGCAGAGCACATGAAGTGTGCTTAGTGTAAACCAAAGAACTGAATTTTCAATTTCATTTAACTTAAAGTTAAAGACATATGGCTAGTGGCTACCATATTGGCCAGCGCAGAACTAGCATGCACTCTGCCCCGTTTCTTCTTCTCCAAATCCCCAACCTTCAAGGGGCATCTCTGAGCCTGCTTTCTCCACAAGATCCAGTTTTCCCAGTGGGACTCCTTTCTTTCCTTCCTCAGAACTCCCATCACACAATGAACCAGTACTGTGGCACTAAGCACTTTTAAACGTATAGATATGTGTGTGTCATGTCCTCTACTAGTCCCCTCTCTGCAAGCTGTGACTACTCTTATTCTTAATTTGGACCCCACTATACCTAGAGCGGGGTTGCTTTCAAACGTTTGCTGTCTGGATATATAATAGCAGCACACACAGCAATTAACATTAACAGTAGGAATTGACCAACGTTGCCGTGCAGTGAAGGATTAACCTTGCCCAAAAAAGATTTGAGCCTTAGCTCCCCGCTCCTGGGAGGTGACCACTATGCCCTCGGAATATCCTGGCTGATAGAAGGGTCTTTGTTTACTGGGGGCCTTGGGCCATACCAAATAGTCTATGTTATGTGATTTATGATGGGTGCCTTGGGCCGCAAGTATCAGCTCGACCTCTAGTGGAGCTAAAGACTAAGGTCAGCCATGCGGGCCATCAGCTGGATCCATGTGACAGATCCCCAATGAAAACTCTATACACCATGGTGAATTTGGGTGAATTTCCCCAGTTGACAATACTCCAAGCACATGGTTTCACATCATTGCTGGGCAAAATAATCACTATCCACTTGACTCCACTCGGGGAGGACAATTGAGAATTCTACACCTAGTATCCCCTGGACCCTGCCCTATGCATCTCTTCCCTTCGCTGACTTTAATCTGTATCCTTTTGCTGTGATAAACTATAACCATGAGTATAATGGCTTTTCTAAGTTCTGCAAGTCCTTCTAGAGAATTATTAAACCTGAGGATGATCTTGGGAACCTCCTGAACTTGCAGTTGCCCAAAGTAATCGATATTGCAATGGTGCCTGGGGCCAGCCCAGCTGAGAGTTCAGCTCCTTGAATCCCAGCCCTGATCACACAGCCTCTGGGCTGCAGGGCTGGTGCCAGAGATGATAAGCCTGGTGCTCAGCATGGGCAATGGGCTTCTGGGACCAGAGTCACACAGGAGTATATGTGGGAACAGAGGAAGTGGGTGGAAGACTGACCCAGGGGAAGGAACAGGGAGACCAGGCTGCACAGAGCAACTGTGCGGTCAGTCGTGCTGCACGAGTGAGAGATAAGGGAGTTACAGGTCCTGACTTGAACCTTCTGAGAGTATTCACGTGCACCCCAGTCCTCAGGAACTGAGAATCGCTGCCCCTGGCAGTCGTGAGCTGTGGAGCAGACCCCTAAGGCCAGAGCTTACTCGATTTAAGGCAGGTTATACTCTCTGTTTTGCTGTACTGTTTTTCTACTCTTGACCAAAGTTTAGGCCAGACACCAGACCCTGGCAGGAAGCTGGCAGGGGCAGAAGGAAAGAGAGCAGAACTACCTCCTTCAGTAAGCAAAGAATGTGCGGTGGGCATTGCCTCCCTCCTCCTCAAGAACTGCCTTCTGATCCCAAGTGCTGTGACTTAAAGAAAGGGCCCTTATCAAAATCATGTCCGTTATACCACCTGAAATTCCACTAATTAAAGAGTCACTTAAATTAACCTAACAATCACCTATAACTGGGTCAAGAGAAACGGTCGTTCACAACTTAGTGTAGACTCAATAACCACATTGCTTCCCTCACTCTGAGCTTAGCGGCATCAGAGGAAGGGATCACTAACTTGCAGGAGTAAGGGAGAGATCATTCTGGAGTGTGGGCCCTTCTGGTTAGAGTAGGAGGGGTCCTGAGGTGGGGCCGGGACTTTGGTGCAGAGATTATTGAGGACGTTGTTCTGGGGCAGGAAGGGAAGAGCCCAGAGGCAGAGAAGACTCACGTCCCCTTCCTCTCCAAGACCAAGTTCTGCTCTCACTAATTCTCAAGTCCCACCCTCCTCCCCTGCCCTAGGCTTGCCCTGCTAGAGATTCCGGGAGAGAAGCATTCTGCTGGCTTCATGAGGGCCTCACAGGAGACTGGAAATGCTTTTCTAGACAGACCTAGGAGTCAAAGTACCAGCAAACAGGGTGGGTCTGTGGGGTAAGCAGGGTTGAGGGAGGCGGAAGGGCAGGAGTACCTTATGCCACGTGTAGGATGAGCACAGCTTAGAGACATTCTCTGAGGTGTTTATTTCCACAGTACCCAGCACAAGGTGGGGCCTCAGTATTCAATGAATGGTTGAATGGATGGATGAACGAATAATCTCCCCTAATATTGCAAAATCACATGGGCTGCCGAACTCACACAGGCCAAATCATTCCCACTTGGGACCTGAGCTTTCTTCCTTCCTGGGTAGGCACTTAGTCCAGTTGTATGGGTGCACAGATTTTTCACTCCTCCTTTCCTGTCTCCAATCCAGAATGCCCCTAGGCTTGCTCTTCGTTTTTCCCTTTCCCTCCACACCTGCATCCGAAGCTTTCTGAGGGTCTCAGAATGTCTGGGGTGCATAGCAGGGGAGTTCTTGTGAACTAGTTCACACACAAGAGCAGAAGACGGCTGTCCCAGAGAGATGTGAAGTGGGACACAGGACACCTGTCGATGACTGGCCCAGCCCAGCAGCTGTCTATGCCCTCTCCTAGCCACAGCCTTGGAGCCCCTAGGAAAACACTGACCAATAAATTAAGTTGAAAAATATGTAGGAGGCTGGGAATATCAACCTGGAGTATTTGTCGATGGCGTGGCTGTTCTGGAAAATGCGCAGACCCACCTGGCCCTTCAGAAGCCCCTTCTTCCTGGAGGAGTTGGATTCATTGCTTAGGGCCAGGTGGACCACTATTTTGTCTTGCCTCTCTTCTTCCGTCAGGATATGGCTTCTTGGGTACCCAGCCAGGCTGTTGGCCTCAGATTCACTGTAGCTTCCATCCAGCATCATGGTTCTTGAATGAGGCATTCCACACACGCACGGGAACTGCGGGCAGCAAACACCAAGGGCTGCGTGTTAGAATCACCGGCGCAGCTCTTTAGGCTGGCCACAGCCAGGCTCCACTCTACACTTAAACTAGTCTTAGTTTAAAACTACCAGGTGCTTCTACTGAGAACCACTGATCTAGTCCAAATGCTCTCAATTGCAGAGGCAAAAGCTAAAACCCAGACAACCGTACAGTTCTCCTGAGACCACCCAGCAGGTGTCAGAGCCAGGACTTTAACCCCACATATACTGATTTTGGCTGCAGGACTTCACCTCTCCGTGCATTAATCAAAAGATGAGTAGGTAAAAGAGCGTCCTTAGGCTGAAGAGTTATATTTAAGAGTCAAGGGTCATGGTCCCCACAGTGTATTTTAAAAAGGTTCAACTGCACCAAGAAAAATGTGCTTATATGGAGAAAGCACTCACACGAAAGTGGTAAAATGTCAGCAGTGCCGGACCTAGGTGTGGGGTGTATGGATGTACGTTTCCCTATTCTTTCGATTGTTTCTGTAAGTATGAAAACATTTATAAGAAATCTAAGTTAGAGGGAAGGAGATCATTTTGCTTGACTTCTCCCCACAGTTTGAGTCAGCAGAGAGTGGGCTGGCCGCTGGCACCTGGACAGTCAGTGTTGGCCCAAAGCATGAGGCCTGCTTGATCAGCCAACTGGCCATGGGTTTATTCTTTCCAACCTGCTTACTTCACCATGTTTCTTACCTGGCCCCAGCCGGTCACTGCCTCCGGGAAAATGAAATAATGACATTTCATAATCTGCCTTCTATAATTATGGATCTTAAATTACTCAGATGAATATCATAAAGCTTTGGAATGCAAAAATAGATAAATGAATTCTAATGTGAAATTAGAATTACTTGAAGTATTCTTATGCTTGAAGAAATCATTTGTGGTTGGGGGGCTATTTTTTTCAGCAGGCTCAATTGTTTCATTATTATTTCTATGTCTTGTCCTATCAGTAACAGTAATTAAGTAACACATTAATTCATTTTTGAATAATTAACATGGACCCATAGCTATTAGTAAGAGGTCATTTATTCAACTCTTTGCATTTAGGTATGCAAATTTTGATAAAATTGTGAGATGTTGTCATGGGGGTTATTTATTAATTTGAGGCACAGGTCTTTACTTCTTTTCCTTGCTCTAAACGGCAATACTTTCTGCTAAAATGAAAACAGACTTTTCTCCTATGATTTTTGAGTTAGAATCAGGAAATGCCAAATATTCTGATTAATCCCTCCTTTCCACATCAGCTTGTTTCTAAGAAAGACTTCACCATTTGAACTAGGGCTGGGTCTACTCGGTTGCAGGCAGCTGTGTCCTGTAAGGAGTGGAAGCCAAACCTCAGTGAGCCTGAGACTTTGTTAGAAAGGCTGATTCCAGGGTGCCATCCAGAGAGTCTGATCAGTAGGTCTGGAATATGGTCTGGGAATCTTTATTTTTAACAGGATCAGGTGATTCCAGGGCAGGTGCTCTGTGGCTCCCACTTGGGAACCTCTCTACTGGGGACCATCTTAATGATCATGAATATTGGTTTCTCTGTGGGCCAGCAGGAGAGAGATTTTGTGTCTTCCCACCACCGTGTGCCCTCCTGCAACTATGTGTCTCCGCCTTTAAATCACATGTTTGAAAACAGTGAAGTATAAGCTCTCACCTCCCAGATGTCTGTTCTCACACAGACAGAGAGACAGACCTAGGGCCCAAAGGGCTTTCTGAGTATGACTTCCC